ATTTTAAATATAAAAAATCTAAAATATAATTAGGATAATCATTGAGTTCTAACAGAATACTTAATGATTATTTTTATAAAATGTTATATTCTTAAATAAAAAATAACTTATTTCGTTATTAAATTTAAATTAAATTATAATAAAAAATAAATTAAAGAAATTAGATAAAAAAATGAGAACTTTTAAATAGTTGATTTGATATTAACATTAATATATTTTTTTCAAATTTATATTTATTCAAAAATAAAATCATTATTGTTTTCTTAAAAACACATAAAATCGTATTATAACATCGACAGAGACAAATAATAAAATAAAACATAAAAATCGAGATTTGTCTCGCTGCATTGCGCGAATACTCTTCTAATAATTAATTATTAAGATAATAATTAATAAGCCCACACTTGTTAAGTAATATTTACTTGGTCGGTAGGTCCTAACAATTAACTAATTAATTATTAAGTTAATAATGAATTGAATTATTGAAAGGTATTTAAATAGGAAGTATATAAACCTAATTATAATTAATTTTTTTTATTAATCTGGATATATAACCTGTTAAGATAAATCACTTTTGCCTCTTCCTTCTCTCTCTTCTCTTTTGTCGACTTTACACAAACACACGAGAAGATTTTTCTTGTGTGAGGTTTTTGGTTCTACGAGCTAGCAATCGATTTAGGATCCGAAGCATACTCACACGTGGATACCGCTAGAGGAGGTCTACGATGCTTTCTCGTGCTTTAATCTTCTCTTCTCGTCTACAATATTTGAGGGCAATAGTAGATGTGCAGTCAACGGTTGTTTCTAAAAGCATCTTATCAAATAGTTGGAAGCACTACCAAAAAAACCCTCTTTTTCCGGCGGCCAAATCCGCCGGAAATCCGCCGGAAAAAGTGATTTCCGGCGGATTTGGCCGCCGGAAAAAGGGGCGCCGGTGATTGGATTTTCGACGGATATTTCGGCGGATTTTACCAATTTCCGGCGGAATCGGGCCGCCGGTAATTCCTCACCGGTTTATTTCATAAAATCTTAATTAAATTAACAAAATAGTTAAGTTTTTAAAAAATAAAAAATAAATCATTTACCGGCGGAATATTCCGCCGGAAATCCGCCGGACACTTTTTTCGTCGAAAAATAATTAATCTTTTCTAAAAAGAATATATATTTAATTTTTTAAAATACTGGCGGAATACTCCGCCGGAAATCCACCGGAAACTTTTTTCATCGGAAAATAATTAATCTTTTTTAAAAAGAATATATATTTAAATTTTAAAAATACCGCGCCGGAAATTCGCCGGAAAGTTTTAAAAAAAAATAATTCTAAATATTTTTTTTAAAAAAATTTAAAATTTGGAAACATTACCGGCGGACTATGCCGCCGGAAATCCGCCGGAAAATAATATATAAATATTAATATTTTATTTTTATTTTAAAATTAATATTTAAAACTTGTAAATTTGTACAATATTAAAAATGAAACTAAAAAGGCAAAATAAAATTAAATATCATACATTAATTAAAGTGAAATTACAATTATTCCAACCGAACAAAAAACTAAATTGTTATAAACAAAAGACAATATTCAATTGTTAAAGCCCAATACGATTCATTAATGTCCAATACGATCCATTAAGGCCCAATACGGTCCGTTAAAGCAAATACGATCATTAATGTCCAATACGATCCGTTAAAGCCCAATACGGTCCGTTAAAGTCCAATACAGTCCATTAATGTATTTTAAATTTTAAAAAGTCCGTTAAAGCCCAATACGGTTCGTTAAAGCCCAATACGATTCGTTAATGTCCAATACGATCCATTAAGACCCAATACGGTCTGTTCAAACAAATACGATCCATTAATGTCCAATACGATCCGTTAAAGCCCAATACGGTCCGTTAAGGCCCAATACGGTCATTAATGTATTTTAAATTTTAAAA